ATAAAAATAAAGAAATTAATTACAAACAATAGAAAAGAGAAAGGGTGTAAAAGACTGAGGCATCATAAGTCAGGAATGGTCCCAGTTTACCAGAAGGGATATCTGCCCTTCCCTAACAACTCCTCTGGCCTCTCCCATGGCCCTGGCCAAGAAATGAGAGCCCATAATTCTCAGCCAGAGAATAGACTGTTCAACTATTCAGGGAGAGGCACCTAGATGGCCAGTGGCTAGTTTCAGTAGTGGAAGAATTACTTGTATGTCCTCTATGCCAATATCATGGAGTGCTTTGCCTGTGCTTCCTTCAATATATTTTACCCTTACAGCTGTAAGGGTCTTACAACCACTTCTTTAATTCATTTTGAGTTAATGTTTGTGATAAGTTGTGAGAGGGTGATCAAGTTTGACTCTTTTAAAAGTGGCTGTCAAGCTTCCCATCCAGTTTAACCCTAGCTTTGTTGGTAGGAGAGGATTCTAATATTGGTGGAAGAGGACCCCTGACACTGTGAAAGCTCAAGGCTTTGATTTTGTCTACTTTATCTTATACAGTAATTAAAACTGTGGTTTAGCGTTCTTAAGTTTTAGTTCTCAAATTTAGTATGTACACAAATCACTTGGGTGTCTTGTTGAAAGACAAATTCTCAATAATCAAGTCTAGGGTGGTTCCCAAGAATCAGTACTTCCCATAAGCACTCAGGAGATGCCAATCCTGCTGGTTTGAGAACCAGCATTTAATAGCGAGACTATGACCATCAGAGAACGCAGACCTCATGGATATTCAATATCTTCAATGCTAGTTTTACCTCCAGGAATTTCTCCTCCCACTTTATTGCTGACTACCAATGATTTTACTTAATTTCTTATAACTCATATATTAATATAAAAGGCTGTCTTATATTTTATTTAGCATATTTTAGTTGATATAGTCTGGAGGGAAACACAGAAATAAGAGAGGGTTTTTTTTTTTTTAGAAATGAGAGGCTTATCCATTGTATTCATATTTAAACTCATTTCAATATTATTTGTGTACTATAAAAAACATACTGAACTAGATTTAGTAAAACATTTTTCATGTGGAATAGATTTTTGGTAATTTTAAATGACTTTAAATTTAGTTTTAGCTTTAATTATATTTGCAAAAAGAAAAATAAAAGATAACAGTATAGTGAATTTTTGCATAAATTATGCAGAAATGAAAACATTTCATATAAACATGCTAGAAACCTATGGCATCACTGTTTTTCAAAACAGAGTTATAATAGAGTGGACCTATTGTATTTTTGATCAATGTATTTAAAATTCCTTCTTTACATTTTTCACAAATATGAATTGCAACCATTTACTTTTTATCTGATAAATGTTTGGAGGACTTAAAAATATTCATCCAAACTCACTGTGGTACTTTATACCTTTGATTAGATATTTGATGATCCAGAATAATTGCTTTTTGGTAGTTTCACGCCAGGAAGGTGAGTTCTACTAAAACCTTGCTCTCTTATTAACATCCCACTGCAGTGATTATTTTTTAAAGTAATAAAAGGTTAATAAAAACTATGATTATTTTGTTTAACTGCCTTTTAAACAACCAACCTCTTAAAGGTTATGCTAATCAAAATCTCAAAAAAGCTGCTCAAATCAACAGTGAAAACTTGACATATCTCGTGGCATTTGGATCTTAGAAGAGATCAAGATCAAACAAATGAATGTTAAAGGTTTGACTATAGATACTATTTATGAGGTCATGTAAGACCATCTATTTATTTTTAAGAATATAACAGAATGTCCATATAGGCAAGCTGCAAAGCACATTCTAAGGAAGCATATGCCAGCAAGAACAGATTTTTTAAAAGAAAATGAAAAGAAGAAACCCATTTTATTACTACAACCAATAGCGTGCTAAAGAATAAAGATCTATTCTGCAAATATAGGAAGAAACTCAAGTGAGTATAGGTTATTTCAACTAAGGTATAGTAGAAATAAAAGAAGTAAAGACATAAAGCTCAATGAGTCTATTGTAGAAAAAAACGAGATCTCTTTTCTTTAGATCTATCAAGGAAATGATGAGATTAACAAAAGGTAAAACATATACCACCGATAAACAGACAGGCACATTAAATACATAGCTGATCTTAATGGTTAATGTTCTGAATTAACAAAGAAATAATGTGGTTTACTGAGAATTTACACAGATTCTTCAAAAAGGGTCATTAATTAAAGAAATGTTAAGGAAATGTTGAGATAACTTGAACATTGAACACACTTCCCAAGTAAATGCTGCAGATTATAAAGACACCAGAAAAAAACTTATAATAACTTCCACTGAGTCCCTTAAGACTATTCTTATAATAGTCTGAAAAACAAACCATGTTTGAGAGAAATTAAAAAGAAAACAAAAAGCAGAATAATGAACCTGACTTAAGAACTGAGACAAATGATACTGGGTCTCGCTTAGTCTAAGTCTGCTAAGAAAAAGCAAATGTTAAGAGGATGTGCCTCAGAAGTTGTTCAAATTCTTAAAAGAAATAAGGATTATGTCTACTGAATAGACTTATAAAGTTCTTGGTGATTGTTCCTCCCTGTGATAGTAGCAAAGTCAGAGAGGGAACAGATGCCAGATTTTCCAATTCAGTGGTTCCAATGAGGAAAAAAAACCAAACAAACAAACCAGGAATATTTATTGAAATATGAAAATCATCAACTATTTAGTACGTCCTCTGTTTATTTCTATCTGTGAGGTAAAGCTAGAAAAATAACACCTACGATCCTTTTGAAAGGACACAGAGACAAATCACATTTCCCTCAGTCATTATCTGATCAAAATGGCTCACACAGCTTTCAATGTTTTTTGCTCTTTTTGCTAAGAAGTGAAGGAGGGGGCACTTAATCATAGAAAATGAGGAGGTTAGAAATAATGTTTTAAAAGACTTTTATACAGCTTACATTCTAAATATCTCATATAATAAAATTCAAAACAATAAGCTATTAATAATCCATGTTCACATAACCTTATAAATAAGTCAGTGTACTTTGAGAATCTTAAATCACTAATGTTTTTTTATGTCTGTGTTTTTTTCTCCTATATGAACAGGTCTGCACTAGTCTGCATTAATTAAATTTAAGTAGGATTTCTGAGCCTGGATCATCATTAAGTCTGTGGCCCTGATTTAAATCTGCAGTAAAACATTTCTCCATTAAGTCTTGTGCTTTTGTGTCATATTTCATACACTAGTTGTCTCTTAATTAAATCCATGATGGTCCACCAACACAGACTATTAAAATAACTATACTTTGCTCTTGACATATTTATGAGACAGAGTCATAAGACTATAGACTGATACTTGAACTACTCACTAGAAATGCTAATAAGATTATGATGAAAGTAAGATTAGAACATTCCTCTTCTTTCTCTTTTCTTTCTCGAGATTTATTTTTATAACTGTGGTTCACTTCTATTTCAGGTTCTGACTTTTCTCCCAGATCATCTGAAAGCTCTTTCATTGTAGAATAACTGAAAATTAATAGTCAATGGAAACCCTGCAAAATGTTAATTTATATCACATGATGTTAATATAAACTTTGAGAAATATTCTCCTTTGAGTTTTGCTCTATTCACAGCCTCAAGTAAACATGTTAATCTAGATATATGTTTGCCAAGACTTTAGGTATTCAGAATGAAGAAAATTTACAAGGACTGAAAAGAGAAAATAGCCCTTAGTAAGAAAGCAGTTAGCTTTTAGATGGGGTGAAAGGAAGTCCACAATATGTCAACCTCAGATATACTGAAATTTCAATCTGCTCGCCACAAAGAATGATGGTCTCTTCTTGGGTGAATTTTCAGAGAACTTATCACAGCATATGGTGAAAGAGAGAGTTTACAGCTTATTTCATTTGCTTTCAGTAGCCTGATGTACACTTTGGTTTTGTTTCATTTTTCTTAGAAACATTTTTGTTTGTTTGTTTGCAATGTAGAGAGTTGGGCCTTTAAGGGAGAGAAATGCTTAAAGGATCAGGACTTTCCAATGACAGGAAACCATGTCAAAGCAGAGAAGATGGTAGAAACCACATGGAGACTCTTCATCAAGGGCTCTAACCCAAGCAGGCATTACCTAATACAACTTTAGGGAGGAGTTCATGGCCTTTACATCCATTCATCTGCTTCTTAATGGTATTGGTGGATGTTCTACAGCTCTTAAAAAAATACCATGCAATTTGTCACTCAGCTTTATTTTTTAGCAGAAGTTTTAAAAAGTGCTGTAAAGTGAGAAATTTAACTTAAAATAAAATATTGTTTTATTATAATGTTGGTCTGCAATGAACAATGCAAGTATAAAATAAATTTTAATGTCTTGTCAAGAATAGCAGCTACAGTCAGGCAGCTCCACTAAACACATTAAATCTAATAAAATCACCCTCACGTACTCCTGACACTAGTAGTAATTAAAATAACTTGTTTCAAAAAAATTGGTCCTATACATGAATACTTATTGGCAATTATTTCTTAGTTCTTCAAACCAAAGATAACATAATTTGATTCTCACACAATTTTCTTGTAAATGCGGTTCATATTGGGTTTTATATGCAGCTTAAGACTGTTAATTGCCATTTTGAGCCTCACAGTAAAATAGAGTTCAATATGTCGCTTTTCTCAAGCATAGAGAAATGTTTGAGAAATGCTTGTCTTAGTCTAATGAACTGTGAATAATTTACATCCTGAGTCCTATTTTTCAGTATAAGTGGTTCTGACTTTTCTTAAAGCTTGTAAAGCCTCATCAACTTGTTACATTCATCAGATTAAAGAAATCCATGGCAAAGTAGGAAGATGTGCCCAGTGCTTCTTAAAGGGTGTTTTGGCATTGTTTTGATTTTCTTAAGGTCATGTTATCATTTGGGTCTCTTTTCTCTTTGCCTTTCTAGACAATGTATTGCAAACTAAGGATTTTATTTTCTATAATTGTGAGATAATATTATCTGACTTAAAATATTTTCAAAATCCCTTACCTGCTGGCAGCACACTCAATAACTTCTTGGATTTACAGAGGCCGGGCTGTTCTGTCAGGAAGAAAAAGGAGCTGTTTCAGGGTACAAACCTTTTTCATTTCTGAAAGAATCACAGATATGAGATGTGATTCTAGCTAGTTCTGAGCACGTGTGCTTAACAGAACTATGCCAAGGAGACCAAGACAATGAATCTACATTCAACAAGCCCACTGAAAACAGCAGTCCTGTGTCACCAGCATTGGGGGAGGGATAGACAGTTTATGTTGCCCAGGAACTTGGAAAAGAAGTAAGCCAATTAACATCCATTGTGTATTTGCACAAGGATCTTTTTTTTTTTTTTTTTTTGGTAAAAGGCAAAATTTTAGAAGATCTTAGAAATATATGAGAGGATGTGGAGTTGAAAGGAATTTTAGAAATAGTTTGATTTTGCTTCTTATCTTGTAGCAGAGGAAACTAAGGGGCAGGTAAATTATTAAATAACATTTAATGTTCCATAAGCATGCAGTAGAATGATCAGTAGCAGAATAAAGGAAAATCATGATGTCGATTATTTAAAACTAAGGATATAAGGAGGAGATGTGAGAAATATCAGTGATGGCACCAGCAAACATATTATGTTTCTGAGACCATATTATGCTATGGCTGCCAATGAAGAAATTGCTTGAAGCTACGTGCCTGCCAGATATGATTTTCTTATCTTCTGTGTGACTGTTAAAGGACTCACATGTAATGCAAAATGAAGAGGAGGAAGAAAAGAACTTATTTGCATTCTGAATCCACTCATATATTGCAAGTCCATGAAGTTAAATAGCAGAATGAAATCGACATGTTCATTTCTATTATTCAATATGTATAATTCCTGGGCACACAATACATTGTGATATATCAGAAGAATCATCAGGGAAGGCTAGAATGTGGCTCTCAACCACCCCAAAAGATCAAGATATGGAAGTTAAAACAGAGACACTGGCAAGAAAGTCAACTTTGGCAATAGGCAAGCAACAAGAGAAGGAGGTAGGTCTGAAGAGCTATCCCAAAGACTAGGACAAGATAAATGATGACTTACGTGTTGTAGGAAATCATAGTCTAGGTAAAGATGAGGAAAACATATGATAGGGGTAAGCAAGTAATTTTCTACCAAGGGCTAGGTGATAAACATTTTGGACTTTGAAGGTTGTATGATTATGACATAACTACTTTATTCTAACAGCCATAAACAATATATAAGCAAATGTGTTCTAGGAAAACTTTACTTACAAAAAGTAGCATGTAGTGGATTTGGCCTGTGGGTTATAATTGTGTGTGTGCCTAGTCTAGACAGAAAGATAAATGTAGATGATACATAGATGGATTGACAGATATTTTTCCTCCACAAGCAACATGCCTACCTATTTCTAGAGTTGAATTTAAATACACTTGGAGAATGATAAAGGAAAGTAGGCTTCTATTAAAAATAAAGAACATACTTGGCTCCAAACACACCACAATGATCATTACATCAAAACAAATAAATTAATTCATAGGCTCCTGTGTTTACACTTCCATGACTTTCCATGAAATGCAGAATAAATTTCATGTGATTCTCCTCTGAATCTGCCTGTAGTCACTCTTTTTTTTTTAAGATTTATTTATTTATTTATACAAGCACTGGGGTGCAGTCAGAAGCACGGGAGGGTGAGAGAATTCACCAGAGCCAGAACAGGGAGCAGAGCAGGCAGACTTATGAAGTACACTGCTGAGGGGAGCAGCAGGCGCTGCAGGAGAGGTCTGCGCGCCATATTGGGACCCTCGCCCAGTGGCTGGGGATTGAACCGGCACTGCAGAGGCTGCGGGCAACTTCGCAGCCCAGCACTCAATCACTGTGCCACCAGGGAGGCCCTTTTTATTTTTTATTTTTTTTTTAAGATTTATTTGTAGTCACTCTTGAGGGTATACTTTGTCTTACACTAAAGGTTCATTCCTAACTTAAAAAAAAAAAAAAAGAAGTGGGACAAATTCCAATGTTTTGGACCATGCCTCACTCTCTGGTGTCATATTTTACCATTCTCTCCCTTACTCACTACACTTTAGCCAAACTTACATCTTTATATTTCTAACATTAAACTTGACACCATAGTCATTTAACTTACTGTCTTCCCTGCGCCGGTGTGATTAGCTTCATGTTAATATTCATATCATCTGATAATATTCATAACACATACATCAATGTCATAAATTATTCATTTGCTTGTTTGTTTGTCGTCTCCTGAACTAAAATAAAACTACTATAAGGAATGAGGCATATATCCTCACCACATTCCAGGACTCACAGAGTGACAGATTCATGGTAGATGCTCATTAAATATTTTTTTAAAAAATTTACCCAATGGAAGTTAATCATACATTTTCTTTTCTGGTGCTCAGAATATCCTTGTGATGGAGTGTGAGTATTACTACCAGATAATAAAACAAGCTCTCAGAGAAGTTATACGCTTTGTCCACATTTACTGAGCTATAAAATGGCACAACTATAATGTTGACATCAATGTTTACCTCTAAACCCAGTTTAACACTTTTATTCATCAAAAATCTCTAATATTTAAAAAATATTAGCTCTTTGTAAAAATCGCTATGCCTTAACTCCTGTCATATTTTATAAGTAAAAAAAAAATTGAGGTAACACAGAAGTTAAAGAACTGTACATAGTCTCACAAATAGAACATGGAAGAACATAGATTCAAACGCTAGAGCCCCTGCTCTTAACCAACACAGTTGCAGTTATTAGATGAAAAATGTCTCAAATAAAGTATTTGAGTACTCAAAGTTACGTGTCTCCTATTGTTGCTATGGCAAATTACCTCAAATTAGTGACTTAAGACAACACAAACATACTCTCTTACAGTTCTAGAGATCAGAAGCCTGAAAGGAATCTTACAGGACAATATCAAAGTATTGACATGACTAGTTCCTTTTGGAGGCTTCAGAAAAGAACCTCTTCCTTCATCTTTTCTAGCATCTAGAGGCCGAGTATATTCTTTGGCTTGTGGCCCCTTCCTTCATTTTCAAAACCATTGGGTGGCTGCTTCTATCTCTCACTCTGTTACCCTCTGCTTCTGCTACCACAGGACTTGCATCTGGTTATGACCTTCTTGTACCGATCCCTCTTAGAAGAACACTTTGATTACCACAGGCCTACCTTGATAATCCAGGATAATCTTCTTATCGCAATACCCTTAATTTAATTGCAATTGCAAAGTATTATCTACCCACATGGTAACCTTCACAGATCCTGGGAACTGGGTTGTGGCGATCTTTGGAAGTTTACCACAAATGCTATCTATCCAGCAGCTCAATATGGAATAATTTAACCATTTAACCAACTATATGTGGAATGAATATGAATTAGCAAAACTGTTATTGCTCAAGGGTCAACACAGTAAATTCTAACTTGACTCCTTATTCTAAATTTCCATCCCTACACCCACTGCCTACATCTTGTTTTCATCCTGTCCTAATTTTCTCCCCACAGCATAGCTACTGATTATATGTTTAATTCAATCCTTCATTGCATATTTTAAAAGATATTTTAACACTGATTATTCTTTTACAATCATATGGTCTAGTATTGACTCCGTAATGATAAAAGGGTGCGATCTAATATTATAATATATACAGGGCTAGAATAGTGTCTGGCCATAGCAGGCACTCAATAAAATATGCTCAATAGATGAGTAATTCAGACACACAATGAGTCAACTCTTGTTATCGTAGTGAAAAATAAATCTTTTCATATGCAAAAACACTTATTGATTATACCCAATAACAGTATATTCTGATAGTATATTTAAATATGCATTTAGCCCATAGTTTTCAATGCATATTTTGGTGTATGTGTATGAGAGATAGAGCAAGAAATAGAGTGAGAGAGAGCGAGAACTGTGATATCACTGTAATGAGATGAAATTGGTTTTTGCAAAAAAAAAAATTCAATTAGAATATAGTTCACTTTTCTTGATATCAGAACTTCCCAGAATTATTTTGGCAAAAGCAAATATAAGGATCTGGAACCCATCTACATAGTAATAGAACTTGGAACTTCAGTCACTTTGTTATAAGCAATGTATGACTATAAGAAAGATTATACTGATTTCTTTGATAACACCATGGGTCAAAACAAATCTTACAGCTGATAGATCAGTGAGATGAGGATGAATACTGGAATTCATTGCAATATGCCTATTATTTAAAAGTCTGAGATATATTTAGTTGAACTCATCTCAAGAATTGTTTTCTAGTTATTTATAGTTTCTAATTCTGTCAGTCATCTTAATATGAAAAATCCATAGAATTAATTTCGATCTAAGCCACTGATAGACTCTTATGACCTGAAACACACACATATATCTAACCATTTGCATTTCATTTCACTTGTGAAAAAAATTCTAGACTGAATGGAACAAAGTAGTTAACTGGCCCAATCTCCTTTTTTTACTAGTTTATTTTTTTTATCATTCATGTGGGTATCTATGAGTAATTCCTCAGATGCATTCCTTGCATTTGAAAGTTCTCCCTAGTCCTAACTTAAATACCTATTCAAATACATCTTATTTTATTTTATTTTGCTTTTAAAATGTTAGCTCTTTGTGTGGACAATAGCCCTTTTTCCATTTGAATTTACAATATCACTTCACAGTTCAAGTGTGGTATATAAGTCTTTTGAAATTGTCCTCTAAAAAGCAAAGATGCAAACTTTCCAGAAAGCCTTTTACAATTAATGTGAAATAGCTATCTGCCGGTGTCAAGACTCAAAGGCTCCCTGACAGAGTGCCAAACCATAGTTAGAAGTTCCCTGAATACTCTTGTGAATGCAGAATTGAAATTACTTTGCATCATCATTGCATTGATGTGTCTTAATTTCAAATGAGATAAATTGTCAATTCTATTTAAATAAACCTGACCCCCACAGAATCTGAAACTGTAACTTACTCCCCTCATTCCTCCACTATCTTTTTAAAAATTGTATCCACCACAAAGCAGAACTGAGAATGTTTCACTTGAATTTTTAAAGTAAA